GGGATTTTTCCCCAAATTTTTTGGGATTTTTCCCCAAATTTTTTGGGATTTTTCCCCAAATTTTTTGGGGTTTTGTCCCCAAATTTTGGGGGGCTCTCCCAATTTGGGGAGGGGTCTCAGGGGTCCCTCAAACCCCCCAAAAATCCCCCCAAAAAAATCCCCCAAAATTTTTCCCAAAAACCCCAAACCCAACCCTGGGAATGTCCCAAATTTTGGGGGTTTTGTCCCCAAATTTTTTGGGGATTTTTCCCCAAATTTTGGGGTCTGTCCCAAATTTGGGGAGGGGTCTCAGGGGTCCCTCAAACCCCCCAAATCGCCCCAAAAAAATCCCCCAAAATTTTTCCTAAAAACCCCCAAACCCAACCCTGGCGACGTCCCAAACTTTCCCGGAAAAATTCCCAAATTTTCAGGGGCTTGTCCCCAAATTTCAGGGTCTGTCCCCAATTTGGGGAGGGGTCCCTCAAACCCCCCCAAATCCCCCCAAACCCCCCAAAATCCCCCCAAAATCCCCTCTAGAACCTCCCCAAAAACCCCAAACCCAACCCTGGCGACGTCCCAAACTTTCCCGGAAAATTCCCAAATTTTCGGAACCGTGTCCCCAAATTTTTTGGGGGCTCTCCCAATTTAGAGGAGGGGTCTCAGGGGTCCCTCAAACCCCCCAAATCCCCCCAAAATCCCCCCAAAATCCCCTCTAGAACCCCCCCTAAAGACCCCAAACCCAACCCTGGCGACGTCCCAAACTTTCCCAGAAAAATTCCCAAATTTTCCCCGAACTTCCGGCGCCTCCTCCCCAACATTTCCTGGCTGTGTCCCCCCCGTCCCCCCCACCCCAAATTTAATTTTTTTTTTTGGGGAGGGGGTCCCTGACCCGTGCATGGGCCCGGCCTGGCCGCTGGCGTCCATGAGGGAACGGAAGGGACCCCCCAGGCGCGGGTCCTGAGCGCTCGCCTCGGCCGTGCTGAAATGGTACTCGGTCACCTTGTCCAGGAGATCGTGGGGGATGCCACCACCCCGGTCCGAGATCCTGGGGGGACAGTTGGGGACATTTGGGGACATCAGACACGTTGGGGACATCCAGGGGATTTGGGACATTTGGGGGTGTTGGGGACATTTGGGGGACATCGAAGGTATTTGGGGTATTTGGGGTATTGGAGACACTGGGGACATTGGAGACATTTGGGGACGTCCAGAGCATTGGGGACATTGAGGACATTTGGGGACATTGGGGACATTGAGCACATTGGGGACATTTGGTGACATTGAGGACATTGGAGACATTGAGGACATTGGTGACATTGAGGACATTAAGGACATTTGGGGACTTTGGAGCCATTGGTGACATTGAGGACATTGAGGACATTGGGGACATTTGGTGACATTGGGGACATTGGGGACATTGAGGACATTGGGGACATTTGGGGACATTGGTGACATTGAGGACATTAAGGACATTTGGGGACTTTGGGGTCATTGAGGACATTTGGGGACATTTGGGGGTGTTGGTGACATTGGGTACATTGAGGATGTTGGGGACATTTGGGGACATTGGGGACGTTGGAACCATTGGTGACATTGAGGACATTGAGGACACTGGGGACATTTGGTGACATTGGTGACATTGGAGACACTGGGGACATTGGAGACATTGAGGACATTGGGGACATTTGGGAACATTGAAGCCATTGGTGACATTGAGGACATTAAGGACATTTGGGGACATTGAGGACATTGGGGACATTTGG